TTTTTTTTTTTTAATTTTTAACCTCTTTGCAAATATTGTGGTGTGAATGGCCACCAGGACAAATGCTCCAACCTGGCAAAAAGGGGATGCCAAGGAAGCCCCAGCAGTGCCACAAATTGCCTCCCTCCACACCTGAAGGCAGCAATTGGAGGGGAAAAAAAAATCTCTCTGAGCACTCTGTGACTTTCAGGCAGGGAGGGCAGGGATTGACCCAAGGACAGAGTCACTGATAAAAGCCTCCCCGGAGGCCTTCTGCTCCCATCCATCTCCCCGCCGCTACCCAGCTCCTCCCCTCGGCACTCGCGGTGCCGCCCAGCAGCCAGCGCCTGGCACAGCTTAACCAGCGCTCTGCAGGGACGGCGCCGCACCGGGGCTGCTCCCGCTCCTCTCCTGGGGGATTCTGCAACACGCGGGGGCAGCAGCTTCCCTCCAGCCTGCGACAGCGACAGCTCTGCTAAGACCGCATGGCCACTGCGGGAAAAGTAAGGACAACGCTTTTCCCATCCTCCTTTCCGAGGTGCCCTGCTCCTGGCGAAATGCGCTGCAAAAGGTTCAGCCTGCACACCGCTCTGAACGCCCTCTTTCCTCCGACCTTGCTCCCCCACCTCTTCCAACGCCCTGTGAATTTCACCGGATTCTGCTCTCAGGCAACTGCCCGTGTCCACACCTGCATTAGGTTGTGCATTCCCCCTCTGTCCTGCCCAGCCCCTCAGGAAACAAAATACGGAATTGTGCTGCTCTGAAAAACAATCTGCTCAGTCCCACTCTTTGCTCCTGCTCTGGCAGCAAATGCAGCTCTTCAGTGTTGTTCTCTTCGGCCGCTCACCTCCTGCACTCAGCCTTGTCCATGGCAGTTCCCTTTTCAAGCTGCAAGCCCCATTTTGCTGATGCCAAATTGCTTTGAGTTGATTGGGGAAGGGTTTGTGCCATGTCACACATAAATCATCCTTTTGGCAAGGAGAGAAATTATCCAGTTGTCAGCTAGGCTGGGGCTGATTTTGTAACCTCTCTTTAGGTACCTTCTGCCCACTGAAACTTCAAGTTCTGTCTTGCTTACCTTAAGCTGCCACGTTTGACCCATACACTAGATAAACCAATCACTTCATTTCGTATTTCACACTTCACACAAAGCCAGTGTTTACTGAACATTTTTTGGCTTTGCATACAGCTGAGTAGTCCAATGTTTCTGCTCTCCCACCAAATCCCACCCAACCAGCAACTCTCAGAAAACAGCACAGGACAGTTGTGTAGCTCTAGAAGTGTGTGTTGTAGTGTGCAGAGAAATGTGTTGTTCAGCTCTGGCTTTGGTGATTGTAGGTCAGCTGTCCTGGGCTTTTGTCAAAGGTGAATCTCCCCCTGCAATGCATTCCTCTTGGTTGTTTCCAGGTTATCAGGTGCAAGGCTGCTGTTGCCTGGGCCCCAGGCAAACCACTGTCTGTTGAGGAGGTGGAAGTTGCACCCCCAAAGGCAGGGGAAGTCCGGATCAAGGTAAAAATACATTTCAATAACTTTTTCTCCCTTGTGAGAGTTGCTCATCTTGTGGCTGTAGCTTGGATAAAACCAAGTGACCTTTGTCCACCCATGTGCCTTAACTGTCCAGAGAAATTCTGTGAAAAATCCTTCCACAAACTGAGATAAACAGTGGCTGGACTATTTCTAGAAATCACCATTTACTCTTGCCTCTCAAAACAGATTGTGGCCACAGGCATCTGTCACACAGACGATCATATTTTGAAAGGTTCCTTGCCTAATGTGGAATTCCCAGTTATCCCTGGCCATGAAGGAGCTGGGATTGTGGAAAGCATTGGACAAGGAGTGACCTCTGTGAAACCAGGTAACCAAAACACACTCAAACACATGCTCAGGATTCAGGCCTCAAAGCTCTGCCAAGAGCTCAGAAACTTCCCCCTGCTCCAGAGTCAATGGCTAAAAAACAAAGTGCACACTCATTGCACTGGACTCTTACGTCCACTTTTCCAATATGTTCCCCATGTAGACGACTGAGGCCTGGAGCATTCATCCTGACAGGGAAAGCAGAACGTTCATGGTAGGGGTCCTTCTATCAGAAAGCTCAGCAGAGGTGATTCAACAAGCAATGTCCTCAGGGCCTGTGGAGCAAAAGGCACCTAACAGAGATCCCCTTTGTTGCAGGAGACAAAGTGATCCCACTTTGCCTCCCTCAGTGTGGGGAATGCAGCTTCTGCCAGAATCCTGAATCCAACTACTGCCAGAAGACCCAGTAAGTTTACTTTCCTTGCCCTACACCTACATGGGATTGACTTTATGAGAAATCTCATACCCCCATCAGTGCTTCAGTCAATCAAATACAAATACTTGCATCTCCCCCACAGTTTCTCTGAACCACAAAACCTGCTGCCGGACAAGACCAGCCGCTTCTCTTGCAAAGGGAAGCAGATCCACCACTTCCTGTGGGTCAGCACCTTTGCAGAATACACCGTGGTCCCAGAATACGCTGTTGCCAAGATAGATGCTGCAGCACCTCTGGACAAAGTCTGCTTGATCGGCTGTGGGTTTTCCACAGGCTATGGGGCTGCCCTCAACACAGCCAAGGTTGGTATTCAGGCGTGTTTAGCAGCCCAAGGCCACCCTCACAACCTCATCAATCCTGTGCAAAAGAAATCTTCCCCTCCCCCTCTTCTTCCTCCTCTTCTTCCCACTGGAGACTCACAAGAGTGCCATCTGTGCAGGTAAAACCAGGCTCCACCTGTGCGGTCTTCGGCCTCGGAGGAGTCGGCCTCTCTGTTGTCATGGGCTGCAAGGCAGCTGGAGCTGCCCGCATCATTGCCGTGGACATCAACAGTAACAAGTTTGCCAAGGCCAAGGAGCTGGGAGCCACTGACTGCATCAACCCTCGAGACTTCAAGAAGCCCATCCAGGAGGTGCTCACTGAGATGACCGGGCAGGGCGTGGACTACTCCTTTGAGGCCATCGGGCACACGGACACCATGGTAGGTGTCCCTCCAGCACCTGTCCTCCCTCCCAGATCATCACAGGCTCCCTCAGGGCAAAGTTTACCCCCACGGGAACTTCCTCACCTACTGCCTGCACTGCTGGGTATAACTTTGTGAGAGAAAATAACATGAATCTTAAAAGAGGCCACAAGCTCTCCAGGTCTCCTCCACAAAGCGGGATGTGTGTTTTCAGATTACCAGGGAGGAGCAGGAAAATGCACAAAAAGAGCCCTCCTCTGACCAACCCATCAGGGCTTTCTCTAATTCTCCTGCCTGTTCCATCAGATTGCTGCCTTGGCTTCCTGCAATACAAACACTGGTGTCTGTGTGATGGTTGGGGTACTGGATTCAGAGATTTCCATTGATCCTGTGCTTCTGCTGACTGGGCGTACATGGAAGGGGACTATGCTTGGAGGTATGAGATTTAAGAATACAGTGTTAATATTTCAGCTTTTCCTTTCATGGTGGTTGACATGTCATAGTAAAAGAGGGTTTTCAAGTAAAAGACAACTAAAGAGGAGTACTGCATTGCCTGCATTGAACATTAGCATTAGACATGCAAATAAACCTCTACCTGTTTCACACAGTAACCCACTCATCCTCAAGAGCAGAAAACATCTCACAAGTGTGTGGCACCAGCACTGGTCACTCAGTCCTGACCCTCACAGTAACACTTCCTTACCAAAACAGTCTTTCTACCATTATTCATGCACCTGCTTTGTCCTTTTTCTAGGCTGGAAGACAAGAGAATGTATCCCCAAATTAGTTTCCAGCTACTTGGAGGGGAAATTCAATTCAGACTTGCTGATCACGCACACGCTGCCATTCGCTAAAGTGAATGAGGGATTTGAGTTGTTACGTGCAGGAAAAAGGTGAGACCCTGACCAGCAGGAGCCTCAGCAAACCTCAGCACCTCCTCCTAAAATTCCAACAGGTAGAGCATGCAACACTGGCTTCCCAAAGAGCATGTGAGCCTTTTGAGGAAGCAGGGCCTCACAGCTGAATGCCGGCAAGATCTGCCATAGCCCAGAGGGAAGAGCCCATGTTCAGCACAGGGAACCCTCCTGCTCATGGTTCAGCTCAGCACACATCCTGTGGCCTTATTCCCTGATGGGTTCCCCTCAGCAGGGATTTGAAGGCTGCCCCGCTGCTGCCCGCCCCAGGCAGCTCAGTCAGGAAGAGGCTGGATGACAAGGAAGGTGGCCGGTCCCCAGGCACACCTGCCTGCCACACTGCCTGCCCCTGAGCTGCAGCAATCCCTCCCTTCCCTTCCACTTTGCAGTATCCGCACTGTCCTGCTCTTCTGAAGGACACAGCCAAGGAAGCCGAGCAGAGGGACCAGCGCAGCAGATGCTCTCCTGGCCCAGGCCCTTCTCAACCAGCACCCCTCCTTGTGGGGCACCAGGAAAAGAGAATGAGGAACTCGCCTGTGCTGGAGTCACTGCTGGTCCTGCTGTGCCTGGATAAAATCCAGACAGATGACTTTCCCAGGAAAATCCTTTTACTAATAAAGTGTTTCTGTCCAACTCATCCCATGCAGTGCATTCAATCAAAAGTTTTTCCAGAGGACAGAGGGAGCTCCCCCTCACACTGAAGGCCCTCACACCACACCCTTGCTCTCAGTAGTGAGCACTGGCCTTTGCCCCTCCTCTTTTGCTGCCTCCCACCTTCATCTACCTCAGTGAACTGGGCCCTCTCCTGTCTGCCCCTGTCTCACCTGGGTGAATGCTGCATCTTCCAGCAAAGCCCAGCCCTGCTGCTGCTGCTCTGAAGCATATTATATAAAGCAGTAGATAACTTTCTGAAAATAATGTAACACTCATACAGCATCCATGGATGTGGTTTCATTTTGGCAAATGCTATTGGACTTTTAATATATTTTCCACACCATTACACTACATTACACTACAACTCTGAAAAATCTACCCCAAAGAAAAGAATTTTCACTCCAAGATGGTCATTCTGCAAAACAGATCCTTCTTTTAGTGCTGAACATTGGACTCATAACACTACCTGCCTCTTGACCTCTTTTGTGCAACACTTATCACATCCCACAGCCCTTTGAACTTCTGGAAACCGCTAAGCACAATCAGCAATTACACAGAATATCATGAACACACAAATGAGGTATGAAAGGTAAACAAATTCCATCCAGTCCACCCATTTTTAGTAGCTTCTACATGTATCACTCTGCCATGACATAAAAGTTAGCTATAATTCTTCTAACTACTTTTAAAATGTCAGACAATAAGAATGCCAGTAATGAGTTAACACTAGTATAATTCATTAAATGTTAATTAACTGAGTTCTAGAACTTCCCTACTGAGAAAAATCCAAGAACTTCCAATAAACAATGTTTTTATAATACTGCACATGCATCTGCAGAGTCTTAATTTTATACAAGTGACAAGTCTCAAAAATGTAATCAATTTGCCAAGTATCTATCTAACAAATATAAACACATAAATCTGTGCAGGATTGGGACAAAATATAATAATTTTTTCCTTTTTGGAAAAAAAATATTTTATTGGAAAAAATGTTTTTCTTTTTGGAAAAAATCTAAACCTAGGTGAAAAAAAAAGTTGGATCACTATAAAAAACTTCTGCCTGAAGTAAATTGTAAATTGCACTTTACCAATTCTTTTGGACTGTTGTTACATGAAAAAATTGCATAAGCCCTTGTGAGTACTGAGGAACTCTCTGCTACAGCAGGGCCACCTGGTGGTCGCCTGTCCCTGCTCTCCGGGCACGCTGCCCTGGATCTCGGAGATCCTCCTGCCCCTTTGGCAACAATCACTAACTGGGCAGGACTTCAGACTTTAGCAGATAATTTGAGAGCTCCTCAAATTCTGCTTGATTCCTACAACATCACTTGCTTCACAGCTGGCCAAATAATTATATTTGAAAGCAAAGACATTTATACAAACCAGAATAAAATGCTGCCAAGTGCAAAGAAGGAGGTGACAGCCCAATTCCATACTTTCATCTTTCAAATTTCCCTTGTATAGTTAGTTTAATATTAACATATTAAAATCAGCACATATTGGATCAGCTTTTTATGTTTTATTTGGTTTTCAATGAATGCAGATACCTGAGAATATTTAATTGAATGTTCAATTGCAAAACTCCCCAAATTACTTATTTCCATATCTAAAATATTAAACATCTTTCAGCATCCCAACTTCATGTGTCTCTACTACAAAATTGTCAAGGGCGCTGTCACACTTACTTTGAGTACATCACATTTTTTTTGAGAAGTTATTTTACTTTAGTATACTTTAGAATTATACCTGGATCAATTGGTGAAATTATTCCTAAAGTTTTTCCTTGGAACCAACAGTTTATTGAATTAACAGATTATATTTATATTTATATTTATATTTATATTTATATTGCAACTACCTAAGAATTATCCAAAGAAATACCAACCAGCTTTGAGCATTTTTGAGCACAAGTATTATCCTTCAGTACTCCACAGAAAATGTAGGAAACTTAAATCAGAATTCAAAAGGATGGTTTTGATAGCAATGCCCCATGAAAAGAGAGTTACACTCAAGCATCCAGTGCTGTAATGAGTGCACGGGTTATCCCAGCTCTAAGAGGGTAGCTCTAATGAAATATTTCTATCAAAACTACTGGTTTTATTTGGAAAATTTACAGTATTAATAGAAGGAAAACTACCTGTGGGTCAGTCTAGAACCATATCTGCTTGGGGAAAACAAACCAAGCAACGTTTGTATTAATGCATTTCAGTTTTGCTTCTGGGTAGACTTGTCAGTCTGCTCCAGCTTCCCTATGCCTTGCCAATCTGTCACCAGTATGTGAGTCTGCAGCCAGCAGTTCCAGTGCCAAAGCACCAGCTCCTCCTTCTGAGGGGGCACACAGCCAGCTTCTGCCACTGGCACTCACACTGTCCCAGGATGGGCACCCTGGCAGATCACTTGCATCTTCATTCAGCCATAGGCTGCCTGCCAAGCCTGCAAGTGATTTCTTCCCTCACGTCTTCTTGTGCTTCAAAGTTAAACTAAGGTACAGAAAAAGCCTCACTAAAAAACGAATGCCTCTAGGGTAAGCATAATAATACAGTTTTAAAAAATTTAAAAAGGAAAAAAAAGTAATACAGATCTCTAGTTGTTTTGGACTTTTCTCCCCACTTGGCACACAAAACAGACCACATCCACCAAACAAGAACATGATTGCCATGTCTCCCTCCCATGTGCTCAGAGTGCTTCCAAGCCCTCCTCTTCCTGATCAAAGCTGATGTTCCTGATTAACATGTAACGCCTGATAGAACAACACCAAAACCAAACAAATATAAAATCAAAAGCAGCAGTGGAAGTCCTCTCCTACAGAACTTACATAAACCTGAAACATGTGACAAAGCATGGATAGTTTACTCAAGATCATGGAGTGGTAACTTGATTTGTTTGCATGGTGTTGAGAACAGAAAGAAAGTTGCAAAACCACTTACAGTATCCAGGGTCTTCCAAAAGTACACAGCAACACTGGGGGCAGCATCACAAAACTGCAAGTGAAGGAAAGATGAATAAACAAACAACTTCTTTCATCGCTGAAACTGGACAATGAGCGTTAAAGATATCTGATTGATATATCTGTCCCTTTGTCCACCAGAATCAGTGCCTACAATGCTCAGAATGTCAAAGATACTAAAAAAAGCAGAGCATCTGTGGAGTTCAGCTAAACATAAAATATTTGGAGGCTTTTTGGAAGCACTCACAAACTAGGGGTGGTCAAGAGTATGAAGTTCGCAGGAGAGGCTGGTAGAACTGAATTTAACTGAGGAAATGGACAAGGGCTGTGTTGATTTCAACAACAAGGTGTGTAACCTGTACAACACCCTCACTGGCCAAATTACCTTCTAGTTCCATGTCAGCTTTAATGAGCCTAATCAAATTGTGTTTCTCATTTTAGTTTTGTTATTAAATGCTATGTTGTTTTCATGTTATTTGCTAAATGCCACAGTTGCTTATGTCCTATTATTAATTTTCCACATGCTGGTGCTGTTATCTATCTGTGGTATTTGCTAAGCTTTTGTTAGCATGACACTGGAAAATAAAAATTCCCTTTCTTACTGAGGGGGACTTAGTTACACCCTGCCATTCCTCAAGCATCATTACCTTCTGTGGAAAATCCCAACAGCTCACGGCAGAACTGTTCCCCCCATCTTACACAATCATGTCTGCAGACCTCACAAGAAGCCATTCTTATCCTGCCTGGAGAAAAACGGTTTTTTGGAAAATGAAACAGTATGAGGCAGTGAATGATCCCATCTTGCAGCAATAGCTCCTTTGCTTCAAAGGCTCTTGGATGGAATGCCAAGAAGCCCAGTCAAAATTTCCATCCCACCGCAGATCCCTTCACCTACCCTGGCAGCGGGCTGCCTTCACCTCGTCTGTAATGTTCACACTGCCACCCAGTAAAGCCTGCAGCACTGCAGTTTATCCAGCCAAGAACAGATTCAGGCGCGAAGGACATGGTCAGCTTCCCCCTGTGCCCAGGCGGGACACAGGCGGTACCAAGCACTCCAGAACGGAACTCCCCACATGGGAAAGGCAGGCACATCCACCACCAACTACTGCTGCCCTCAGGGAGCGGCGCAGAGGCCGTGGCGTCCCGTTAGTGGGAAGGAATCTGGGCAAGCTGGTGTCGGCAGGAACAGGCCACCGGCCAGGACAGCGGGCCCGTCGCCTCACGGGCACAGCGATGTCCATCTGCCGGCCGGACTGGAGGAGCCGCGATGGGAGGTGATGGGAGGCACTGGCGCAGCCGCCAGCAGCCACAAACGCGGCCACACGGCAAGGCGACACTGCGGGCGCCTCGGGAAACAGAGAGACCTTGGCCCGCACCGCGGTCTGCGGGAAGAAAAGCGCTACAGGGGGCGACCGCCCAGCACGCCCCGGCCCTGCAAGAGTGGGAGGCGAAAAAGGGAGGAAGGAGCCAGTTCGTTCGCCCGCCCCTGAGAGGGAGGCGGGGTGAGAGGCGGCGGAGAAGGAGGCGGGCTCTCCTTCTCCTTCCGCCGCAGCCGCAGCCGTGCGCGATGGCGAGCGGGGTGAGCGTCTGCGCTCCGCGGCGGGAAGTTCTCCAGGGCCGGGCGGAGGGTCCCGCGCTGGGCAGGACGAGGCGGGCGAGTCCTCCCTGCCCTGCCCTCCGGGCGCCTCCGCGCTCTTGCCCCACGCGTGTGGGGCGTGCGGCGCAGCCGGTGCCGCTGTTTAGGCGTGGGAGGCTCCCGCTGTGGGTGTTCGCAGGAGGGGGAAGCAAGCACGCGTGTGCTCCCCGCCGTGTGTCGTACTGAGCCCCGTGCGCGTCCTGCGGGGCTGAGCGCTGCGCTCCCGCCGCTCCTGCCCGGGTCGCGGCGGTGGAGGAGCGAGCAGACCTTGAGCTTTGGGTGGTTTCCTGTGGGCTGCGGGCAGCTGCGACCGAATCGGCCGAAAGAAGGGGTTAAACAAGAACCGGCCTGCGCAGAAGCCATTGCCTGGCACGACTGCTGCCTGGCTGTGGGAACAGCGCGA